ATTGAACATTTTATATCAGTATAGGTACGTTCATACATGTTATAATAATAACAGTGATCTGTTTATGTATAATCATACATTATAATAACAATAATATACATATAAATATATAATCTGATGAACACAGGGGTCGGTCTTTGCTTCTAGAGCTTTTTCGTGTAAGATTGGACTCCACTAATGGATATTAAGAAAAAAGTTTTGAGAATTTTGCACTAGGCATTGGATAATAAATAAATATGATGCCTATATATGTTAGGAAAAAATATAAATACCACTATTATAATAAATAATTGATTTTATATGTTTATAATTTTACAAAATTCGTCGACCAATACAGTCATAACCATGACAAATAAAATACTTTGCGCATAAGAGATGGAAATCGTTGTCACCTAAATTATTTGTTAAATACAATCACTTTACAAACTACAGCTACATTTATGATACATTAATTTAATTATTATGCTTGTTAATATACATTTACTTGATAAATATTGTCTAGGGTAAGTATTTTATAATAAAAAGCAGCTAAATAGAATGGGTTGATCCGTTGTCTGGCAGATATACAGCTAGAAGTTCAGACCTTATTGTTAAAAGTTTCAATTATGATTTACATAGTTCTTAGTGACTTGTTCTATGCTTGATTGTGTTAATAGGAAAACTGAAGGGAATAATATTAACTTTTTTTATTATGTTATACTTGACGTTATTTTTTACGCGAATGCATTGTTTATTCATGTACGTTATATTGATTGTTTTTATATCTATAAGAAAATTAAAAATGTAGGTGGCAAATTAAATCCAAAATGATAAGTATATCAAACGACTTGTTACAAACATTAAGAACTTATAAAAATTGAAAAAGTTTTTCAGATTTTATTAACTACCAAAAAAAATAAAATAATGAATATTAAATGTTAAACGATTAACAATCTTAAAATTATTTATAAACAGTTATTAAAATTAGGAAATTTTAATTTAAAAACAAAAACAATTTGACGAATTTAATAATAAAAGGCCATTCTGTTACGAGTTTTAATAACAAAATTATTTAAAATTATTTTTTAAACATAAATAGTATTTAATTAACTGTATATTATGTATAATGCGAATAGCTTATTCGATTTCCAATTTCTTTTGAAAATTCAAATCTTAAAAAAAAATAATCGATAACAAAGATTTTACAGTTATAATATAATAGTTTGAAAAAAAATTATTTTGTTTACCATACGAGTAAAAGATAAAAGTGATGAGGGATAAAAGCAAATAGCATTGAAAAGTATGAATTTAAAAAGTATGCTATGGATTGAAAACTAAAAAATTTTGAAATTACATTTTAAAATATATGTTATATAATATAGGTATGCACAAAATCTGCTGAAATGTCAACATATACTGTTGTCAATTTTGCAATTGATTAATTGAATTAATTGAATTGATTTTTAATCTACTTATAATATACTATAATATAATATACTTATAAGTAATTATATATAATAGCACTTGAGTTATTTGTAAAGAATTAGTCATTTTGAATAATATATATTTTATAATATCGAAGATACTCTCATGAGGGGGAGTGTAAACTTGAGCTCTCTTTCTCTCTCTAATTTGAAATTATTATCTTCAATTTGAAAATACAATATTGTATTAAGTAAATGCATTTTGTAGTTTTTAATATTTATAAAATTTTTGATGGTTTTCATATTTATTATTCTACATTAAAAATAATAATATTGAAATAAAGGCGGTTTAGACTGCTCACTAAAAAGAAAAATATTTGACCACCTAAAATTGTACCTTTTTATACAATATATTTATAACGATAGTACTATTCGTTCTAATTTTAGTATACTGAAAAATGATGTATAAAAATAAAAAAAACAATTATTAAAAATATATAAACATTGTATAATCTGCAATTTAAGCTTAAATATTATAACAAAATGAACAATGAAAATTTCATCATTTGAACCAATATCGATTTTCGTCCAATTTTACAAAAATTGTACCTACTTATGGTCCAGTGTGATATATATTTTAAGATTTGTATAAAAAAATTAAAATAGTAACTAAAAAAATCCAAAAAATCAGATGTTTTTCTCTCTAACCTATAATGACCTTTAGAAGCGATGGTTACCATAGTGATAATAAATAAAATATAATAAAAAAATTACTTTTTCTTATTATTGTTGTTTACTTATCACTAATCATCACTTGTAAATCCAAAATATTTTTCAGTTTCCAAATAAAATAAATATAATTTTCGTATTTCGCTAATTAGTATATTTGTTTAGTTTAAAATGAATTTTGTCTTAGAGACAATACAGTTTATAGCTTTTATTTTTCATTTAGTATATTAATACATAATTAGACCATGCCTACTATTCGTAAAATGGTTTCAAAGAATATAATGGTAAATTACTTAACTTACTTAATTTTGTGGATTTATTGAACTCAATAAACCAAACAGTTAAAAGAACATTTTAATATAAAATCAAACTATAAAAAAAATTGTATAAAATTAAGGAACCCGTATTTTAACTGATCTTACTCAAAATAAATGTAATTAATTCTAAAATTATTTGGTGAAAAATAAATGATGATTTGTAATAGAAAATATAAACCAAACTTCTAAATGTTTGTTCAAAAATGTATAATGATAATATAGTAGCTACAGTTGACAACAAAATAGAAATCATAAATAATTGAAGCTATCTGAGAATAATATACGAGATTCAAGGATAACATATTTATTGGGACTATTATACCACAATATTATATATAAAATTAAAGTTATGATTATTTAATTTTTCATACATTATAATATATTAAATATACCAACGCGTTTTGTTAAAATGGGACCCAAAAGTGTTGTAAGTACCCCTGCAATATAGTTCTGTGCACACCTATTCGAGTAAACCGACAAACGGAATACATAAACATTAATAAAAGAAACGAATAAGTTACATTATAGTCGGTCTCATCAGATAGTTATAGTATTTACGCAAGTTGGGTACGCTCAGTTGCCATTGCTAAGAACATATTTTTCAAAGCAAACGAAAATTACTAACATGCTGTGGGTAGTTGGTATAATTGTGTGTTGCGCCTTAGTAGAAAATACGTTTCACATCAAATAACACTGATGGAGGGAACTCCATGCAAAGGGAGGTTTTTCGCAGTATCGTAATTGACGTGGTATGAGAAAATGCATTGTGAGCCCATGTTTTTACTAAATGTACAAAAGTGTCGTATTACAACACTTGATATTTTATTTGAATTATTTTATTGTATTTTTTATTTAATTATATGATGTGGGCTAGTATCCAACTTAAAATATATTATTTGTAAATTTTACAATATTTATATATTATTATGATTTAAATAAGAACAATATTTACAAATAACCAATAAAGTAATTAAAATTACTAAAGTAAAAGTGAATTTTTACTTTTCACAAAGTCAAATTTTCCAAAGACTTACAATTGCATGGTAACTGTAGTATAAACCAAAGTTAGGAAGAAATGGTAGAAAGTAAAAAATTATATAGAAACTATGTGACTAGTTGAACATACAGGAACTTTAAAATGGATTTAAAAGAGTTGCAATAAGTTAGTTGAAAAACGGATATTTGCTGCATATACGGTTACCTAATTTATTCAACGAGCTAGGGTATATAATTTATTATAATATATTATAAGAACACTTAAATTATGAAAAAAGAATACGTAAGAATTTACCTTTTCAGTGTTATAAAATATTGATTTCGAGGTGTTTTAAAATTACATGTTTTTAGCTATTTCAAACAGAATAAAAATAATATCTGTATTAATGACTGAAGACGCTTATTATAAGCAAAAAAATAATAATCAAAAAAGCGAAAAATTCTAATTCATACGAAAATGATATTTTTGCAAGTTCAGATTTACCTGATTTATTAAATTAATTAAAATTAACTAATTTGGAGATTGAGATTAATTGCTAATAATGTACATGAGTTAACACACCGATGACTTAAGTTGATTAAAAATTATAATCAAAAATATTATTATTGTATATTATATTTTTACAGATCAATTGCATTTTGTATAATAAATGTTTTTTCGATGATAAAAACCATTTTTCTTATATTTAATTGCTCAATGGATCTTTTGTCAAGTTATATGTCATTCAAGGACAACTGTAAACTAAATTAATTACAACTGAATTATTAATAAATCGTTTTATAAGCGTCTAAAATAACAGTGAACTATTTTCGGCTTTAATTTTGTTTATGTTTCACAATAATAAATATATTTTTGGAATTTATCAATTACTTAATCTTAGACCAATTTCTATATAGAAGATGGAAATTACTGAAATAATTTATTAAAATATTTTTATACTGAATAATGACAACTAATTTATATATTCATCTTTGGGTTTGAAGTCCAAACAAAACTTTTAAACTGTCTTAAAAATATTTGTATGCACACAGAATATTTAACTAAATATATTCCACGTTTTTACTGAAGTGAAAGAAAACCATTCTCCACCACGAAAATTGGTTAGATCCAACGAATATATATATATATATAACATCCTATATAATTAATTTATATAAGTACTTAAAATATGATTAAATCCAGTTAAAGTTTCTTCAAATGTAATTATTTTATTTCCTCTTGTTGAATACGTTCAAAATCATGCATTTCTTATATTCGAATTGTTTAGATAAATAAAATCAAAGTTATCAACATTTCACAAGTTACTTGTACTTATAAATAATTTAAAAATGATGGCATTTTTTTTTTTTTTTTTTTTTTTTTTTTTTTTATTGATGAAGCCACAACTACAATGGTTATTGGCTTAATACATAAATAGTTATATTAAATTAAATTGTACATTTTTGTTAATTTTAAAAATTTAAAAATTTTGTAAACATTTTCTGGATCTGGACTTAGTGCTTGCTGGAGGTTGTCGGATATTTCTAGACTGTCCTTGATGTATCTATATTTTAGGCAGTTGCAAATTACATGTTTGACTATGAGAGTTACTCCACAGGTGGGGCATAGGGCAGGATCCGTTCTGTTCATGAGGTGTCCGTGGATCAACCATGTGTGGCCAATTCTTAATCTGTTGAGGATTACTTCCTGCCTACGAGGTAAAGATGTAACTGGCCATGGATATATTGAGGGTGTTATCTCATTAAGTTTGGTGTGCATTATTTGCCATATCTGTTGCCATTGATTTTTTATACATTTGTTAATTATGTTTTTGCTGTCTTGTAGGGTATGGATATTAATTTGATGTGCATCAGGAGAGGTGATGGCTTGTTTGGCGTATGTGTCTGCTAATTCATTTCCTTGGATTCCAACGTGGCTTGGGATCCAAATCATAGTTATTGATTGAGATTGGAGTTCTAAAGACGATATTTGGTTTTGAATCTTTCTGCTAATGTCGTTAGGTTGAAGATAGTTTTGGATGTTGGTTAAGGTGCTTAGAGAGTCACTGAGTATGATGAATTTAGTTATTTTATTTTGTTTAATGATATCGAGTGAGTGAGAAATTGCGATGGCTTCAGCGGAAGAAATTGTACATGAGTTAGGAATCTTGATCATTATTTTATTCTCTTTTTATATCACAGAGGCTCCTACTCCTTCGTCCGTTTTTGACCCATCTGTGAAAAAAATTGTGTATACTTTGTAGTCTTCGAGCAATGATTGTAGTTCACTGTTATACATTCTTGGTAGAGTTTTGCTTTTGGGTAGGTCTGATATTGAAAGATTTATATCTATGTTTAAGATCCATGGGGGGACTATGAGGTTTTCGTGTTTAATGACCCCGGATGGGTTGATGGATATATGTAGAAGTTCGTCTTTGATGATTCGGTGTGTCTTGAGATTATTTTGGATTAACCTTATATAAAAGAGCATAGTATTTTTTTTTCTTATTAGGTGTATTGGAGGGGTATTGGTGATGTTATATAAGCTGGAGGTGGGACTGGATCTGAATGCTCCAGAAACTAGTCTTAATCTGGAATTGTGTATCGTTTCAATGGTTTTGAGATGTGATAGTTTGGCGTTTATGAAGAGGAAGGAACCGTATTCGAGCTTGGATAATATGATGGATTTGTAGATCTGTTTGAGGGAAAGTGAGTTAGCTCCCCATGAAGTATGTGCGAGTGCCTTGAGGGTGTTAATTCTTATAGCGGACACTTTTCGTAATTCTCTTAGGTGTGTGCACCAAGTATTTTTGCTATCGAATATGATGCCTGAAATCTTGATAGTCTTAGAGGTTGCGATTTGAAGATCATTTATTTTGATTTTCAGTGTCTGGTATTTTCTTAGTTGAGAGAAAATGATGCACTGTGACTTTGTGGCGGAAAAACGATAGCCAGAAGTAGCCGACCATTTTTCTAGTGAAGATAATGTGTCTTGTAATATTGGTTGTATGCTTTTTGTATTTCTCCCTCGGCACCATATGTTTAGGTCGTCGGTAAAAATAGTATGGTTTACGGGGAGTTTGATTGATTTACTTACGCTATTAATGGCTATGAGGAAAAGGGTGACGGAGATGGTGGATCCTTGAGGGACGCCGTTTTCTTGTTTGAGGGTTAAGGAGAGGTGGTCATCGGTTTTGACCTGAAAAGTTCTGTCTGACAAGAAGTGTTTGATAAAATTGAGCATATTTCCGTGACAAAGTATCTTGTGTAGTTTTTCTATTATTCGTGGGCGTAATGTGGTGTCATATGCTTTGGCAATGTCGAGAGCAACTAGTCCTAAAACTTGTCTGGCTTCGAATGTTTTTCTTATATCCTCCTGTATGTCATGTAAACTATTATATGTGTTTCTATGTTTGAGAAAACCATTTTGTTGGAAGGAAAGGTAGTTAGTTTTTTCGAGAATCCATCTCAGTCATTATTATATGCAATAGTAAGATATACACAGTAATATAATAATGATAAATATATATTTTATATACAGAATCAAATCAAAATTACGTTATTTAATAATTATTATTAATATTATTTTATTTACTTTTAACTATATACTTTATTTATTTTCACACAATCATTATACGACAAATACCTATATCTTTTAATATTTTAATAATCCAATTACAAGTATATCATAGTATGAATGCTCTTTTTTAGTAATACAATCAGCAATAATATTAAACAGTCATGAACTCACAGCTCTATCGAATTGTATTGATATTATATGATCTTTTACACCAATATATATTCATGGCATAAGTAATACAAATAATATATAATGCTACTGCGAATCTTAAGATCTAAATATTGTAAACGTATAGTTTTGTAAATAATCTGCAGAAAATCATGTGCTATTGTTGAAGTACTATTAATGACATACATTTCAGTCATATTCCCAACTAAAGAGGATTACACGTACTCTGTGTTGAATACCAATTTCAATTTTAAGGTCAATACAGTCTTAAGCAAACCTTCTGTGTGAAACGCCATGAGTCGACAAATAAAATGTTTTGAAGCAAAAAGTTTTAAGTACTTATCCCTCTCTCTTTGTTATTTTGTACTTTTTAAAACTATTACGTAACGATGGATATTTTTGATGAGGTATTTCTCTAACTAGATAAATCATAATAGAGTTATTAAAAAACCGAGTGATTTAATTCCATTAAATATATATATATATAAATATATATATTTTTAAACATATATTAATGCAGACTATCGACAAAAGGCAAAATATCCAAATAAATAGATAAATTAAAAATCAATCACGTAATTCACTTATTATTTATACATTTGTGTACCATGCATATAATTACTAACAAGAAAACTAGAATAATTATAACTTCATAGGAGACGGAAAAAAATAAAAATTAGAATTGTGGAACTTATTAATTAGGTATATACCAATTACCTATTTATTTCGAGATATATGTTTATAATATTTTTTGTACAGGATTTCGTGCAATAAACTAATTTTCTGTATTATATTTATTAAAATAATGATTTTTCTTATATTTCTAATATACAATATATATATAAGTATGTGTGTATGTGTGTGTGTATCTTTTGATAATATTTTATTTAAAATTTCCAGTAGCTTAATAAAATACAACGAAATTTCACTCGGACAAAGTCAATAATAAAGTAATATTAATTAGAAATAATTCACAGTGTTTTCGATTGTCATAATTTCAAAATTTTTAAAATAAAAACAAACCTAACAAAAAAGTTAACAGCACAATAAATATTTAATTTTTGTCATAACTTACTATGTAATAGTAATATATACTAATATATATCAAACTACTAAAGAAAGTAAGTTTATAATAATTTATAGTAACTATGTGTGATTTTAAGGCGAATAAATATCGTATGCGGTCAAGACTAAACACTAAAACCTATTTCATTCTTAACGAAAGTTATATGTATGATCACCAAAACCTCATATAAATTTGTTTATTTTGTATTACACTGATTATGATATAGTATTTTCATGGAAACGGATGGGTGCTAATAATTAGTTGGTTTAAAATATATGAATTATAATTACAATAATAGTGTACTATAAAATAAAATATAATTATTTTTAATGTGAAGTGTTTAATATGAAAGTCCAGTATAATTATTAATATATCTATTTTTTAACATAAAATATAACTTTCTACGTTTCTGTGTTAGAGAATCATTCAACTGTGACTAGGATTTCAATAATACTAAAACCGATTTTAAAACAAAAATAATATTTATTTTGTTCTTTTTTCTCATTTTATTACCACTTAAAATAAATTTATAATTTCAAAACACAATATCAAGATTCCCGGTTATATATTTGGATAGTTATTTAATAAACTGAACTTAACGACTTAAATTTAAGACCTAACTATCAATATTTACCTATTGTTAACTTCAAAAAACTTATTATTAATTATTTGGTTTCTACGAATGGCTCATATTGTCTTCATGTTTTTCATAATTAAATCTTTATTAGACTCTCTAATTTCAATTTCTACATGGTTCCATTTTATCATGTAAATATATTATTTGTAATTTGTATATTTTTTTAAAATTATAACCTAATTTAATCATAATCTGTTGTAATAGTATTCTTACCAGAAATTATTCAAAAGTTATACATAGTAAATGTTGGTTAAAAGTAGTTAGTACGTAAACAATTAACGTTTGATTTAATTAAAGTGACTTTACTTACTGAAAATTATGATATACTATTTAGCAGCAACTAGTTAGCTAAATAATAAATCAATTAAATTAACAATAAAAAATAAATTAATTAATTAACAGTCATGATATTTACACAGTTTTGCTTTTTTTTTCCAGTGTAATAAATTCTAAATATAAAATAATATACCTGACATTTTATGAGTTCAATTTCAACATTAGGTTGTTCTATATAAATGTTCAGAGTAAATAATACCAATACACATCGCTTATTAAATATTTAGGTTTTTCAATAACTATATATTATTCGACATCCGTGATAAAACGCAAAATTCGTAAGTAAAATAAGTAAACATATACTTCGTTATTCCAATGATTTTTATTTACCATTTTGTTTAAAAATAAACTGATATTTTATGGGTATTTATCATTTAGTTTGTATAAACTTTTCAACTATCTATAAGCATTTTTTAGGTTGTACCTCACAACTTTTGATTCAATAACAGTATAATACATAATTTATCAAAGATGTAGTCAAATATTTTATTTTAGGAAGGTTTTTCGATTCCTAGTTTATTGTACACGTATTATATAAAAAAAGAAGAATACGTCAAAGAAAAATTTGTAAGTGGTTCTGAATCCTAAAGTTCCTTTGGTTATGTGCTTGTAATTTTAACATAACTTTTATTTACCCTAAAAATATAAAAAAAAATTAAGATTTTATATATTTTTATTGTCATTTAATCATAAAAAAAACTTATATATTTGTTGATTATTTTTGTTATTTTTTTTTTGTAAAACTATAAAAAATGTAATTAAAATTAAAAATTAGTAAATGGTTAATTCTTGTAAATTAATATATAAATAAATAATCAAATAGTTTATATATAGAAATAAATAAACGCTTAACTACTGAAGAATTATATTTTTAAATTACGATCAGTTTCGAATTAAAATTTCATCATCAAAAAATAGTATAAATAGTACGAGTATATACATTTTTATATAAATAGTTAATAAAAACACTACTGAATATGAAAAAATAAAGGAAGAATAGAAATATTGACCTAAAAACAAATATAATATTTAAAATAGTTTTCATAGTATTTTAAATGTGCAAATCGATTTTAAAAACAATATCTTATATCAATACATTTTAGACAATAATAAATTATAGTAACC